CTGAAAAGAGACTTGCGTCCATCAAGTTCAGCCTTCCTCACATTTGTTTTTTGCTGTTGATCCAAAAGAAGGCAAAAAACCTGGTCTGAAGCGCTTCCAATTTTGCCACAAAGTAGGAAAAAATTCCATCTTGACCCCAAAATAGCAGTCAGATGTCTCCTTGGATCAAGCAGCTATTACCCCACTAATTAGAAATTATATCCCTGTATGTTATGTTTTTGTAAGTATTTATCCAATTTCAGTTTAAACCTCTGTAGTGACTCTGACAAAACCACCTCTTCAGGCAGAGAATTCCATATCCTTATTGTTCTTACTGTAAAAAAAACTTTTCTTTGCCTTAGATGAAATCTCCTTTCTTCAAGCCTAAATGTGTGACCTCGTGTGCTATGTATAGCCCTGTTTATGAATAGATTTCCAGATAAAGGTTTGTACTGGCCCCGAATATATTTGTATAAAGTTATCATATCCCTTGAACAGAATATAGGGCTGCTTAAGTCCAGGGGTGCAAGTAACCAGGGGTTCAACTAACCCCAGGCACACAAGGGCCACTATGTTTATTTGTGCAGTGTTTCAAGCTGAATCATTTAACATACAAACGTCTACCAACATGCCCACTTCAATTCACTGAAGGGGTCATAGTGGTTGGAGTAACCCTTTAAGTACTAAAACAACTGCATCTCAATGTAGAGGTTCTGGTGCACAGAGCCTGTCCCCACAGTCTGACAATGGTAAGCATGGCCACAGGTCCCATGTGCTTGTCTATGATAAGCATCGGATTGACCCTTGATCATTAACCCTCTAGAATGTAGGCTCATTGAGCAGGGCCCTCCACCTCTCTGTTCCTGTATGTCGAGTTGTCTGGTTACAATTAAATGTCTGTTAGTCCACCCTTTGTACAGCGCTACGGAATCTGATGGCACTATATAAATAGTAAAATAATAATAATAATAAGGATGATCAGTTTTCAGAAGAGGAGGAACATCTGTCTTGGAGACACATAGAAGGCACTAGATTAAAAGGTAAGTTTATCTTCTTTTAAGACTCACCTTAGGGGAGCTGGGAATCATTAAAAAGACACAATTGTTAATAATGTTAGAGTGTTCCTTTAACTAGCACAACAGTTAGGATCAATACATCAGTTTAAAGAAGAGGGAGAATATCAAGAATTACACAGAAACTAAACATTTCTCTTAAAGGAATCAGTGTAGCCATATATACACATTTTTAAAGGGGTTAGGTGCAATCATGTCAAGTATTTATCTTTCCCAAAGGCTGCTGGAAGATCTTTTACGAAAAAAAAATTGGAAAATTGGAACTGTAAGTATGGTTATAACATTGTTCACACCATCGAAGCACATATTGCATGGTTGACAAATCGAGAAAAAGAGGAAAAAGGCCTGCCAGAGGGGAGAACTTCTAGCTTTGAATGAGCCATCACTGGCAAGAATAATAAAAATCCCATGGAAGTATGCGTAGAATTCTCCCAATATTGAGGTTGAGCAAGGAAAGTGCTGATATGGAATTGTTTCTAGGTTCCCTAGTCCGGTTGAATGGTTCCATACCTTCTCTATGCCATACCCGGTGCAAATTAATATTTTATCACACTTCACAATCCATCTGTATAAATCAATAGGCAATTGACATTAGAATGAACACAGTAGATCATGTGACTTTCAGAGCAGCACTAAAAACACTAATCGCTAATCAAGCAGGAAACCACCACAAATAATCTCTCCATAACCTTACCTATCTCAAGTCTTCTACCTATTCAACTCTCATTTATCCCGTTCCCACACTACCATCACTCGCCCATTGCATAGGGAAAGAGTACCATCTATTAAAAGACCACTACAGTCTACCCGGGACACTTTGTCTCAATGAAGTGGGCCTGGATGTAATGGTCCTTGAGTTTTTTTAGAAATCATACGGACAGCCACTAAAGGTGCTTCTGCGGCATTGGCGGAGTAAAATTTGATCTTGTACCTCCGAAGCCCCAATAGGAAAGCAATTATTCAAAAAATCTTTATTTTTATCATAATGGGGGAACCTGTATTTTAGTAGAGACAGGGACACTAAAGCATCAGGGATACAGGTTTGTCAGTAGAAGCACAGAGATAAACAGAGGTTACAAAAACCAACAATGAAAAAGTGCAAGCCCTGTTAACCAATATATAAAATTCTGTTTTTTTGGTAGTTTTCTCAAGAATTTGGTTTCAGATAAAAGTTACTCTCCCTCCTTCCAGAATGACAAATGTGTAGGAGGAGGTCATTAAAACCTAATCCAGCAGTTTTCGTATTTGTCGTTTCTCGTTCCAATACATTTTTATAATTGCATTGAGGAGATGCTCTTCTGTTCCTAATGGAAAGATAAAATTTATGAACTGTGACATACACATCATATCAAAGACCACCCTGTGAATAATGATGGGCGCAGATCCTATGAGACTGTATTCCTGGCTTCCTAAGAATCCTGGATGTGCTTGAAGGACTAACATGCAGAGTATTTATTAAGCATACTAGGTCTTTTATCTAGAGCCGACATTTATATGGGTCACAGAGCGTGGAATATTTAACAGACGCAGATCTGGGGTATGCACAAGACAATTCATAGTAATGTGAAAAGGTGGGATATTTCTAATCCTCCTCCATTCATTCCTCAATACTAGTTTACCAAAGTTGAGGCGTTTTGTATAAAGTTATGATGTAATCTGGGGTCATGGTAAATCCTGGCTCAGCTGTTTAAAGACTCCAAAATGGGTATTCAATGTTTAATAGCATTATTCATCAATCTTGCCGCCCACCCTTTTTTTCCCCAAAGGCAAAAGTCGAGGGCAGTGCTATCAGATGCAAAGTGCACAATCAGAGCTAACAATGTTTACTTGAAGGACAATATAAATTATATATTATGCAATGACAAAGAGGTAACCCAAAACATTTGGACTATGTATATTGTCAGTCAAATACACACGGTAAGCACTGCTTGGGCACTTTGCATCTGACGGCGCTGCCTTCATTTTTGTGCCTTGTTTTGCAACACTGAGCCTGCATAATTTAAACGTTTTATATTTGGTATGGCAGTAACCATAACTATCTTTATATGTCCTTGCTCCTTTATAAATTAATTTCTAACAAGGGTTATTGTAAGCACCATATCCACTACAGCCCTCCCCGTTAACTCTAATGTCAATGAATCATCAATGAATCATCAGAGACAGTGTGGTCACCTGGAGGTTCCCAAGTAAGTGACCCATCACCAGGCTGTAGATGACTGTCAACAGGCATTAGGCTGTAGTTGTGATGGTGTTTACATTGCTGCTTTAAAAATGTGATTTCAGGGAAAACATGAAACTGGGTTTTTAATTTGATTATCTTGAAAGGGCAAAACAGAGATTAACCAAGGTGAATGGAAAACAGGTCCTAAACAGACGGTGTGATCCTACTGAATATTAGAGATATGCACTCAAGTTTCATTTCAGTTTGTTCCAACTATGGAGATTCACACATTTGTTTCGATTTCTTTTTGGTTCTACCCAAAATTTTCGCTTAACAGCATTCGTTTAACCATTAATCTTCCTGTGGAAATGAATGAATCCTATTTATAAAACAGGATAAGTGCAAAATGAAAGTGAAATATCACTTTTAATGAAAGGCTATGCAATTGCATTCACACGCTCAGAGCCAGCTACAATAAGAATTATATGAATATTTGCATAATAAAAATCTGAAAAAATAAATTGAAACAAAGCATTTTTTTTATGTTCATCATTAGTTAAATTAATAACTGCAGAAATTTTGTCTGCATATAATGCAAAATTCATTTAGTTACCTAATTATTTATTGGGCTGTCTTTACAAATGCTATATGTTGATCTGTTATTTTGTTTTCGGACAAAATTAAAAAAATGTTTATTTACGTTGCCATTTGTTCAAAAAGGAATGCACATGTCTACTGAGTATAGTTTGGATGCATGTATCTGGCATCTTCAATCTGTTGCTTAAACTGTGGAAGGAAGAACTACAAGTGACCTACCTCCTAGTTGCATTAATGAACATGTGACAATCCTTGAACATTGGATTATCTCTGTCACCTGCAGACCGTTGCAAGGATTCTTTCCACCTGGCCGTTATGTTATCAGCATAGCCGGTATTTGAGGCTGCCTGGTCAGTGCCGGTATAGCAGTAATACCGGCGATACAAATGCCGGTATTTTTCTCAGTATAAACTGAGATTAGACTGCACTGCAATACTGGTGCTGGCCAGTAAGTGATGTTGTGTGAGTGGAGAGAGGCAGGGATAGGAAGGTTACAGCATCTCCCCCCTGCCTCTCTCTACTCACTGATCTGCAGGGGAGCAGCTAAGCCCAGAGCGTCCAGCCTGCAGCTCAGGTAAGTGAGGGATGGAAGGCTAGTCTGTAACAGGTAACACAGGGGTATCAGAGACACACAGACATGGGGACACTAAGGAACACAGAGACATAGGGACACTGGGGCACACAGACATGAGTATCCTGGAAGACACAGAGACAAAGGGAAACTAGGGGAGAGACAGACCCATGGGGACACAAACACAAGGGGATACATGGGGACACTGGGAAACACATCCTGGCAGATACATAGACATGGGGACACTGAGACACTAGGGGAGACATGGGGACACAGACACATAGGGACACTGAGACACTAGGGGAGACATTGGGAAACTGGGGGATCCTGGGAGACATGGGGAAAATGGGTGGTCCTGGGAGACACAGAGAGATGGGGACACAGATACTATGGGACATGGGGAAACTAGGGCACACTGAGACACAAGGGGAGACATGGGAACACAGACACTTGGAAACATGGGGACACAAACACTGAGAAATATGGAAAGTGGAAGACATGGGGACACTGGAAGACATGGGGACACTGGAAGACATGGGGTCACTGAGACACTACGGGACACTGTGAGACATGAGGACACTGGGGGACATAAGGAAACAGACACTAGGGGATACTGAGATACATGAGGACACTGGGAGACATGGGGACACTGTGACATTAGGGAACACTGGGATACATAGCGTCCCCATGTCTCACAGTGTCCCTATGTATCCATGTGTTCCCTAGTGTCTCAGTGTCCCCTTGTCTCCCAGTGTCCCCTAGTGTCTCAGTGTCCCCATGTCTCCCAGTGTCCTCTAGTGTCTCAGTGTCCCCATGTCTCCCAGTGTCCTCTAGTGTCTCAGTGTCCCCATGTATCCCCTAATCCCCTAATGTCTGTGTCCCTATGCCTCCCAGTGTCCCTGAGACACGAGGGCACACAGACATGAGGGGACACTGGGAAACATGGGGACATTGAGACACTAAGGGGGACATGAGGACACTGAGACACATAGTGTCCCTATTTCTCCCATTGTCTCTATGTATCCTAGTGTTCCCTAGTGACTTGGTGTTCCTATGTTTCCCAGTGTCTGTGTCCCTGAGACAATAGGGCACACTGAGACACTTAGGGAGACTGGGATACATAGGGACACTGGGAGACATGGGAACACAGGAGACATGGGAACACTGAGACACTAGGGGACACAGACACGAAGGGAGGCATGAGGACACAGACACTTGGAGACTTAAAAACACTGTGCTGTGAGACAGGGAGACAGTGGAAGCAATCCCTCTATACAGCAGAATCAAACTGTTGTTTTTTTGGTTATTTTAAATAATTTTCTGTTATGTCACTCCTTGTAATTTACATCTTGTGATGCCACGCATGCATAATTAATTATGCAAATTAGTATGGCTGGTATTATTTTTTCAAGAACGGTGGCAACCCTACCTGCAGAGCTCTACATTCTTTTCTTCCTTTGCAGAGCCTTGCCATTGCTTCTTTACACCTGCAGAGCGTTGTCACATTGCCTTTTTGCCCCCTGCAAAGTCTTGGTCTCTTTCTCTTGCAGAGCCTTGCAGTTCCTCTTTTACCATGTAGTGCCCCTGCTGCAAACTTAACACTTAGTTGCACTGACCTGCTATTGACCAATGCTGACATCTTGTGTGCAACTAGTGCCACAGAGCACAGCAAAAGCTAAACTATACTGATTACGGCAGGTAACATTCTATAGTAACATTACACAATCTATCTGCAGATAGACAGGGATTTCAGAGAAGATGAGCTACAAGCATTAGACTTGGCCGAACATGTTTTCGTCTGAATTCAGGCTATTGGTCCAAAAGATGAATGAAAGAATAGAAATCACAAAAAATTTTAAAAAAAGATGGAATTGCTTGTTGGACGAAATGTTGTTGTTGCAATTTGTCCTTTGTTCATTCATTTTAGTTTATTACAAGGATGGAGCTACCGGCTCGGTGATCCCTACTTGTAATATTTAAAAATAGAAGCTGTGCTCTCCACCTCTTGTTAAATCCACCCATGCCCCTCCTCACCCTATGGGAGTCAATTTGACCCCACATTAGTGTAAGGGAGGTTAAATCCTCCCTCTTGCCCCTACCCACAGTGCTGTGACTAGGGGAATGTCTACTAAACAGCAGGCAGCCAGTGGCTGCTCGCTGTCATAAGAAAAGACTAGCAACTGGGCAACTATTGCCCAGTCGCTAACACAATAAAGGAGGAACTTCCTAACTCTTGTGGGATTGCCATAAGGATACCAAAAAGGAGCTATTTACTAAATAGCCACCTAAGTTGGAGTCCTTAAATATGGCAATTCCACAAGGGCACCAATGTAGGGAGTTATATACTAAACAGCTGCAAGATGCAACTGTAGCCTACAACACAGATCAGAATTTCATTAGTCCGAAATAAATTCCAAAACAGAAATTATGGCTGAATCTCACCTGAAAACGAATAAACAAACTAATGAAAAGGTCACCCAAATATATTCGGTTAATATCTGTCCACTCACTAGAAGTAATACTATGTACTCACAATATTCTGAGGGTGAGAATGTCCGCTAATGCTCGAAGTCTGACACCAGAACCCAAGGCAAACCATCCTCATCAGTGCAGTGATCAGGAGGAAGGATAGAGGTTAGGCAGCTGAAGAAGCCATAGGGAGACAACTTCGGGGTTAAACAAACCAATAAGGAAAGAAGATGGCGACCAGGGATTGCAACCCCCACAATGACTTCATTGACATAAAGTTGTTATTGGAATTAAAGGACCACTCTAGGCACCCAGACACCTTCAGCTTAATGAAGTGGTCTGGGTGCCTGGTCCAGCTAGGGTTAACCATTTTTTTTAATAAACATAGCAGTTTCAGAGAAACTGCTATGTTTTTAATAGGGTTAATCCAGCCTCTAAAGCCTCTAGTGGCTGTCTCATTGACCGCCGCTAGAGGCGTTTGTGTGCTTCTCACTGTGAAAATCACAGTGAGAAGACGCCAGCGTCCATAGGAAAGCATTATGAAAGCTTTCCTAGGAGACTGGCTGAATGCGCGCGCAGCTCCTGCCGCGCATGCGCATTCAGCCGAAGAGGAGGCGGAGAGGAGGAGGAGAGGATTTAACCCTTTCCTCTCTATCCAGCCCAGCGGGAGTGGTACCGGCACTATAGTGCCAGGAAAACGAGTATGTTTTCCTGGCACTATAGTGGTCCTTTAAGTAGACTTTTAACAATACTGGGTTAGCTGGACATTGCCCATGACACAAAAAAGCTGTATAATAATTGTATATTAAACGGACATTGCATTACCAAATATGCATTACATTTCAGCATTACACAGCTAGATATTTCCATCTCTAGAACAGCTTCACGAAGATGCAAATGTTTAACCAATACACCTTGGTAGAGAGGCCCAAGGTTAAATTGTAACAAATGTGCAGAAAATTCTACATCGGTAACACCAAGATGATCTGTTTTATCCATTACTCTCTCTAGGGCAGATTCTGAACAATGTATTTAAATAATCTATATGATTGATAAAGTGATGGTTTGCAACCAGGTCCCGTTTATATCTACATAATGTCTTGTTGATTGAAATAATTGATACAACAATACAATTGATGTTCTCAAGGCAGTTCAATTAGTTGATGTCTATCAGGGCTGCCCATTGTTTGATCGGCTAAGTCGATGTTTCTAAAGTATTTTTTATTTTTTTTGCTGTATGATATAAAAGCCTGATAAATACCCACGATTGTTAGGTTTCTTAAAGGAACACCATAGTCACGCCATTCATCTCGATAAAGTGATGGCCCTGTCCTTTTAACCCTTCAATCTAAACATTTTTAGAAACTACAATGTTTAAATTGAAGGGTTAAATACATCTCTACTAGCAGCCACTAGAGGCGCCAGCGCTGTACTGACTGAGTAAAACGTGGTCAGATGATGTGGAAGCCCATAGGAAAGCTTTGAATACAATGCTTTCCTATAACGAAGCTTGAATATAAATGCAACATACCTATTCAGTCACAAATGATTCTCTATAAGGGAGCATTGGACTGGACCATGCATCCTCAATAATGGTGGGGGAGGTGAAGAGGTGAGTAAAAAAGGTAAGTCAATCCATTATTTTTAATGAAAACACTATAGGGACCATAACAACTTCAGTTCTGTGTGATCATGACTTTGCAGTCTCATTGCTAAATTCTATGCCATTTAAGAGTTAAATCACTTTGTTTATTCAGTCCTAGCCACACCTCCCTGCATGTGACTTGCACAGCCTTCCTAAACACTTCCTGTAAATTGAGATCAGTATTGCTCATTCTGTTTACTCTCCTGCTCTTTGAATAGGCATATGGACCCTGCAGGGCCCTGCTGTTATGTGTTCAACTTGAATTTACAGAGCAGGGGATAAAAACTTCTAAAGCAAGTTAACATCTGGTTGAAAATGAAACCATTTTTTTCATGCAGGCGGTCAGTCAAAGCCAAGGCAGCTGTGGCTAGGGCAGCATAAACAGAAACAAAAGTGATTTAACTCGTAAATGGCAGAGAATTGAGCAGTGAGACTGCGGGGCCATGATTTATACACCAAAATGGTTTAATTAAGCTAAAGTAGTTTTGATGCCTATAGTGTCCCTTTAACACCACTAGGGACAGAGGCACTATAGCGTTAGAAACCCAGGTTTGTATTCCTAACGGTGTTCTTTTAAGTACTGATATTACGCAATAACAAAGTCATGCTAAAATCGTAATATAACGGAACTCTAGTATCATTGTTTCCAAGATGAATTTAAAAAATGTAACACATAATCTATATTTAACAGCTCTGTGATACAATAGTTGTATGTGCAACTGCCACTGTCGCTTTAAATCAAAATAAAGCTAGTCTTTCCTTGTAGCAGCTGCTTTGCTGAGACAGGACCACAGAGCAGCCTTTCAGAGAGAAGATCTTACAAGGCAAAATGTTCTCAAAGGCTCTGCATTGTACGGCAAGTACTCAGAAAGGAGTGAATCTGTATAAAAGGGGCTCTCATGCCTGAAAGCCAGGGAGAGTTACAATGCCATCTTTCCCCTTCTTAACTGATCGTCTAATCTGCTATAACGAGAACATGCTCTGCTCAATTACGAAATGCTGGCGATCTGTGCATGTTTTTTATTTTTATTTTTTTGTTATCAGTTACTGTGACAAAATGGAATGAATAGGTATTGCGGACACGAGAACGAAGAATTGAAAAATCCATCCCTCTGGAAATATACGTTATTCACGCTGTCATTTACGGCTTTGAAATTAATAGACCGAAAATAAAAAGATAGAATGAAAGAAAAAAATAAATAAATAAATCGCCACAGTTACCAACAAAATGCATTCCAACCACTGGCAACACTGGCGTCTCCAAGTTTAATTCCCCCAGGGAGGAAAGGACATCATCTAATCTGTATTCAGTACTGACATTGTCCATATCTGATATGGAACATTAGTTTCTAACTCTCTCAATAGACTAGTGTCCTTCAGTTTATATTACTTTATGTTAATAGTAGAAAAATTACATACACCGTCATTTATCATTGTTATACTGTACCATGCATCTTGCCGTTTATTGTAATATATTTATTTGCTACCGAGATGATCCAGAGGGTGTGAGGTGTGGGGAGGAAAAGAGGTTTAAATGTAAAACTAAAGAGACAACCAATTCTAATATCAATACAAAAAAGGCAGCAGTTCTGTGAAAAAACACGGACGATTAAACAAAATATAGAGATTTTTTTCTTCCCCTCCCCCGCCA